AATCCTAAATCCCTAAACCCTAAGGCAGATACGCCACTGCCTCAAACCTCAGCGCCCTACACCCACACCTGCAACACACCCTTAGCGCCCTTTAACCTTTACCCTAAGAGTACCTCTTATGGTGTAGTAACTTTATGGTGCCCTTATAGATACATTGTACCCCTTGTAATTGTGTAGTACCCTTCTAATTATAGTACACTCTTATAGTTAACTAGGTACTACACTTATAGCCTTTGGAGCTCCGGAGGCTTTAAAGATCAAAGGCCAAGGCTCTTTGAGCACTCCAGGGGCAGATTTGATCGCCCGCGACGCCTCCGCAGACCCCTAAACCCTAAACCACCGAGCCTTATACATGGCTCCGGGGTCTGGAAGATGTTGGATTCAATTATATGTAGGGCCCTGAAAAATCAAAATAGGGCTCTGGGGGTCCTTTAAAGTATAGTTCCAATAATGAACCCCCCAAAAGAACATAGGCAATTACTGAGGCCCCTATAGTAGCGTTTAGGGGTTTGGTGCTTGGGAGATTTTGGTGGCAGCGGGCTAGAGGATTGCGGATTCAGGGGTTCAGGAATATTTTGTACCGACTGTTACGGGCCTTGTACCCCTATTCCAGGGTACATGGACGGTCCTGGTAGGGACATAGACTGAAAAAACCCTCAGAAAAGCCCTTCTCCAATAAACAAGCCCTTACAGAAGCCTGCTCCTAAACCCCTAGGTCGAATCCCAGCTTTAAACCTCTGACTCTGACCTAAACTCTGCAAACACCCAAGCCCCGGAACTGATGCCTCAGCGACGCACTGGGAGACTACGTCCAGGAAGACTCCCGGGGCGCGGAACGCCTCGAGCCTCGCATGCTTAAAAGATACACGGGTTCGCTGAAGATTTCCTCCAAGGATTCCTAGGGCTACCAGGGCTACTAGGGTTTAAGGTTCAGGTTTCAGGACCGGCTTATAGTAGGGTTAGAAGTCAAGTAACTATGATTCTATCTGCGCCAATGAAGATACTTATAAATAAAAACTCGTGGTACCGACTCAGTCCCCAGATCTTCGTGGAGGGCTCCTTGCGATTTAATAAAGATTTAGAGCCTTAAGTTGGAGGGTTTGGGGTTCAGGCCTCGTCTTCGCGATTTACCCTTAGCTGATACTCCCAATGGCCTCATCCCGCAGAAAGTCTCCTCTCGCCCTCGCACCCCAAACCCCAAGCACTTCATAATGTCGGCAAAGGTTTCCCTATCAAAAAATCTACAACGCACCCTATCCCAGTGGGGCCTCCCCAGCAAGAGGCTCTAAACCCTACAAACCCCGAACCTTAGAATAAACACTCTCGCATTCGGGCCTCTCCAGGAAGAGGTTCAAGGTCTCGAACTCGTAGTGCATGATGTCTGCGGCTTGTAGGATGTGATTGACCTGCAGATTTGGGGAGCTTTCAAGGCTTGAGGTTAGGAGTTCAGGGTTTATAGGGGCTAGGGGTTAGGGTTCAGAGTTTAGGGTTTAGGGTTTAGGGTTTAGGGTTACCCTAAACCCTAAACCCTTACTAAACCCTAAACCCTAAACCCTAAACCCTAAACTTAAAATCTTTTGGGTCTGAGCTTTGAGCCCAGATGGGTTTAGGGACTAGGGCCTGGGAGTTGAGGGGTCTAGGAAGTTACTCTGTAGGGTTTAGGGTTTAGGGTTTAGGGTTTAGGTATTCAACCGATCTTCACTTGCTTCCCCCACCCTAAGGGTCCAAAGGACCCAATAATCAGGTACTTTGGTTGCGGATAGTGGGTATCTAGGTTAATATTTGGGAGAGTATATGATTATTAGGTACTTGGACCCTTAGGGCCATGCCCAAGGAAGCTCACAAAACAGCATGCTGAGCCTTCAAACCTGGGCGAAGCATCCGAGGCCGAAAGGTCCAACCACACTCTGAATCCCTGATGTAAGGGCCTTAATAATGAGAATAGGGTTTTGGGGTTTAGGGTTTAGGGTTTAGGGTTTTGGGGTCCTTTATACTATGATTATAATCAGGAACCCCAAAATAGTATAGGTAATTATTAAGGCCCCTATATTCCAACCCCTGAAACCGTTGCAACCCGAAATCCCTAAACCCTCGAACTCCATGCACATCCCTTCCTGAGAGAGTAGAGCGGTCTACATAGCTGGGCCCCCAGGAGTCACTGCTGTACAGGGTGAGGGGTTGCCGTATGCCCAAGGAGCCCCACAGACTCCCACCATTATGGCACACTTTGATCGAAAATTCTACAGAGCCCTCATAGAACTCACCAAGAACCCAACAGAACCTTTGTAGCATCCTAATGTAAGTGCCTCAGTAATTAGAATAGGGTTTTGGTGGTTCCTTATTATAATCATAGTATAATATACCCACAAATCCTACTCTAGTTATTAAGGCCCCTATATTATTCCTTAATATAGATATAAATACAATATACCCCCAAACCCTATTCTAGTTATTAAGGCCTATTCTAGTTATTAAAGCCCCTATATTATTCCTTAATATAGAAATACAATATACCCCCAAACCCAACTCGGCCCCTATATTATGCCCTACTTCACATTGACATGCAACCACCAACATGGCGGAGTGAGAACGGCCTCCTGAGCGCGAGTGGTCTCCATGACGTTGTGCAGCCTCCGGAACACCATGGTTCTACACATACTTAAACCAAGACCGACATGGGTTCTACTCGTAGGGTTTAGGGTTTAGGGTTTAGGGTTAACTAATTTATACCCATAGGCCCTAAAGTAGTTCCTTTTTGGGGTTCATAACTAGAATCCGATAAGGTAACCCCAAAACGGAACTACTATGGGGGCCTATGCTTCAACCAAGTAGTATAGGAACTACAGCTCGATGCTTTGTGGAGTTTGTCGGCGAAAGAGAGCCTTCTTTCAATAGAATATGGGATTGGGGGGGGTTTTTAACTTACCGCGTCCCGGGCTATGATTGCGGGTGACAATAGTATCCCCTTGTAGTCCCTAGATGTTTCTACTCATACTCACCATACTACAACGAATAGTGGTAGTGTCTAGTATAAAAATGATACGAACAACCCCTTACCCAGAGGGTCCATATACACTACCATTATGGAATTCGGTCCCAAGGGACCTAATTCCAGAATAGTAGAATACATGGACCCTCTGGGTTACCCGGGTTATACCCCCTGAAACACTATGTTTGTGCTCAGTCTCTTCGGGCTTGGGGGATCCGGATTGGTCGCCTCGTCAGAAGGACGTCGCGGAGGCACTCGCGGAAGTCGAAGGACCTGAGTTGAGGGCTTAGGGTCGCGGGCCCATAGCCCATTGAGATGGAGCCTTCGGTTCAGGGTTTATGGGGTTTAGGGTTTAGGGGTATAGGGGTTTAGAAGTTTAGGGGTTTAGGGTTTAGGGGTTTAGGGTTTAGGGGTTTAGGGTTTAGGGTTTAGGGGGCCCATAACCCGTGGAGATGGAGCCTTCCTTTCTGCTGTAAGTTCTTGTCACAATCAGTGGTGTAGCTGAAATATACTGTCTTGTCTTCCTGATTGCGAGGTCTTACAGCTCTGCTGTGCTTGCAAAGTTTCGGTCCAGTATACTACAGCTACAACAAAGAGCCCTGATTACAAAACATGCAAGCTGAAATTTGATTGAGCTGCGCTCTGATTTCCGTCTTCCCAGCGCTGGTCAGACGAGAGCCGCTGTCAGAACCTTGCATGAAACTTTGGGTTTACCTAAGCCAACACCTATTAAAGGCCATTATTCTGCATACCCGCCCCTGAAATCGACATCAGTTCCGAGCATGTTTGTGACCTACTGCTTTCGGAGTTTTACCTCAGCTCGGGCTTCCGTTCAGCACAACCTACCATGTTGCAGAGTTTGAGGGCTACAGGTTGGGACTCTGTGATGCAGACCCCTGATGAATAGCACAGCCTCCTTTGCTGATTGAGAAACCATAGCAGCCTTCAGGTGCATTACCAGATCCCTGGAAAAAGGGGTGTGAGATTTCAACATCGGGGCGTCATCCTCATCTCTTGTGAAGCATCACAGACGGCTACCTTCAATTCGAGTGGTGGCTTCAAGCTGCGGTCTTGATGAAGCGCGGTGCATTTGCAGCTAATGTCCCCGAAGGTGTCTGTGGAGTTTGCTGCCTTGGCCAGTGCATGTGGAAGTGTCCCCGAGCATCGGCCAAGGCAGCAGCCTCCTCTTCGGTAGCTATTGGAAAGGCGTCCCACCCAAAGCATGGCAGCTGAAACCCTAAACCCTAAACCTTAAACCCTATAAACCCTAAACCTTAAACCCTATAAACCCTAAACCTTCAACCCTATAAACCCTAAGCCTTAAACCCTAGACCCTAAACCTTCAACCCTAAACCCTAAACTACAGAGCCGTCCATGCCAAGTGCTGGACAAGCCGCTCGGGTATTTGGGGGGTTATCTTCAGACCGGCGACTGCACTGCCTCTCCGCTCTGCTTCCTGAACCCAAGCGCAACCTCTACCCTAATTTTCAGGTAGGGTTTAGGGTTTAGGGTTTAGGGCTTAGGCTAGTTTACGGCAAGTTTCGGGCAGGTAGCATGTTGGGTCTAGGGCTTTTAGGGTTTAGGGTCTTGGACCAGTTTTGGGTAACGAACCCTAACCCCCAAGGTAGCCACTATATAGGGCACTAGAGCCCCTAGGGCCCTATATAGTAGGTACCTGGAGGGTTAGGGCTAATCAGGGGGAAAACCGTTGCTTTAAATTGTCCAAAGACCTCTACGCATTAAGCCCTAAGTATATGAACTATGAGTACCGGGACGCTTGGAATGAATGGAATACACACCCCGAAGCTGAAAATCGAAGTTCGCGAACCCAGAGGGTCCGAGTACACAAATAATTAAATAGGGTCTTAAGTCCCAGCAAACCATGCGAAGTCCTAAAAAACTTGGACCCTTACGGCAATGCCCTTCTATCAGGTCTTTGGCGCGGCCGAGGAGCCCCACTTCGCGCGAACCACACCTGCTTGGAGCATTTTTACCCATAGGCCCCATAGTAGTTCCTTTTTGGGGTTCATGGCTGTTTCAACACTACTTTTACCGCATACCGCGGAGCATCGCCAACCGAACCGTTTGTATCGCTGATTCTCGAACCGATCGAACCGATCCGTACCGCAGAATATCGCAACATCCCACCACCTCCAGACAACACCTGCAGCCAC